ACTAAATTTTATAGGATGCCAACATAACCGCAGAAGTACTTGAATATGGAGCTCGTGTGAGACACTACTTACGGAGGAAAGAAGAACTCTTGCGAGCAGGAGATACTGCAAAAAGCAGAACAGAGAAAGTCTGAAGCTTTTACATATCTGCAATGAAACATTATCGTGCCACTTGTGCAGGTTCAGAAGCTTAAGGAAGTTACGGAGGGTCTGACGAGCTCAATAAGTGGAATAGAGCAAAAAATTTCGGAGAACAGGTAACTGGTATCAGTTATCTCTGCAATGCTTATGTGTGCCATGCACAGGCAACAAAAGGAGAAGGCTATCAAATACAGAGACTCTAAAGCTTCTGAAGTTGTAGAAACTGAAAAGGTCAGTAAGGCATGGCATAGTAGCATGGTTTGATTTTTCAATCTCTCTTATAGGCACTGTCTTCAGAAATTCAAGCCCTCCATAAGAGAAAAGAGCAATTGGAGGCTGAGTTGAAGGAGGTGAGTCTTCTACTTCAAAAAAGAACTGCCTAATATATGTTTGACATACAAGGTGAATAGCGCTTTGTCTTCTGCAACCGCCCGACATATCAACACGCAGGAAGAAAAAGCTCAGTTTGACGAAGCAAGCAGTAATATTGTGGCGCATCTGTCCATACAGGTCCAGAGCAATTGTATCTGTTTCATTGTATGACTTTCATTTTTCTAGGAAGAAGAGTTAACGAAGTCTATAGCTGCGCGGAGGGCTGAAGCAGGTGTAGCCAGCACTTGGCTAGGATTTTTGGAAGACACCTGGCTTCTCCAGTCAGCTTGTCTTGAAGAAAAGACCAAAGCTATCCAGTGAGTGGGACTAATGCAAGTATAAGCTTAAAAGTTTACTTACATTGTTGTGCAGGCACGATTCGCAAGAAGCAAAGCTACAGTTTCTATCGATTGCGTCAATGAATCTTTCTTACCATCAGGTTTAGTTTACAGATCTGTGTATTTTCTAAGCTCACTTTCGAATGCAGGAGGAAATAAAGCTTTTGCTAAAGCGTCTAAAACTTATCAGCAGTGAAGACAACGAGACAGACTCAACCATCAGGCAGAGCTTCTTGGAAACTGAAAATCAGGTAGCTTAATAAGTTGACATTTCTACCTGCATTTGTAATTTACTTGCACAGGTGATTCGTGTTCTGAAACTCATGGAGAGTTTGTCGGACGACGTCAAAACTTTTGAAATAAAAGAAGACGGGTAATGTGCATTGCCGGAGTTTCTTTACATTCCTTCTAACTAGCACTATCCACTGGCAGGGACGAAGTAGAGAAAAAACTCCTGAAGTGTATCGGAGCCATCGATTCCTTCAAGACAGAACTCAGAGGACTGAAGCGACCAGAGCTAGAAACCGGAAAAGTTAAAAGTCCAGTTTCTACAAGCCCAGAGGTGCGTGACGAAGAATCGAAAGCGGAGCCGGACGGTCAAGAGGCCGAGGCAACAGACGGCTGGGAGCTGGACACTCTAGAAGAAGCGTCCACCTGAGAGTACGTCCTTGTAAATAATTGTTCTTCACGATTCACGCGTGTAAATAGCTTCACAGTTTCCCGAGCACGGGAGAATCCTCAGACGTTTAAAGTGTTGGAGAGAAGAACGTAAGAACCGGAGCTATCCTCCTCCTGGGAGTGCCGGAGGACTTGGCCGGCAATCCGATCGCCATGCTTCGAGTTTCTATGAAGATTACACGCACCGAGGAGAGATGTCCAGGGAACGCTGTTTGCTGCAAACGGCATGGTGGTGATGAGCTCCTCGGCTTCTTCCAGCCTTCCGGAGCGAGCCAGCAGATCGACCAGGCAGTGGTAGTGCTCGGCAGTGGCCGTAAGTCCGTGATCCGAGATCATCGACATGAAATACTCCCAGGCACAGCTTAGCAGTCCTGCATGGCCGCACGCCGAGAGAATGCTCGTGAAAGTCACGTCCACAGGCAAGACTCCTTCCAGTGACATGAGCTGAAACACTTGTAGAGCTTCCTCTTTGAAGCCGTTTTGCGCGTAGGCCGCCACCATTCCACTCCAAGTCACCACTGTCTTGCAAGGGATCTCGTCGAAGACCAGCCTCGCGGTGCGCAAGCTGCCACACTTTCCATACATGTTGACGATGGCGCTCAGCACGAAAGTGTCGGATCTTACGTGACGGCTGCTCCGGACGATGGAGTGGATCATCCGGGCCTCCGTGATCGTCGCAAGAACAGTGCAAGCATCGATCGCGCTGACGAAAGTTCCTTTGTCCGGACGAAGGCCCTCGAGATCCATGGCAGCGAACAACGAGATTGCCCGTTTGCATTGCTTGCCGTGGACTAGAGCGTGGATCATCGTCCCCCAAGAGACGGAGTTCTTCTTTGGCATCGTCTCAAACAGGTGTCTTGCCGCGTCCCCTTGGCCACAGTGGGAATATCCCGCCAGCATCGCGTTCCACGACGCAGTGTCTCTTTTGGGGATGCTCTCGAACAAGGCCACCGCATCTTCCAGCTGCCCGTTCTCGGCATATGCTGTTAACATAGCGTTCCAGGAGACCACATTGCGCTCTGGCATCTTTTCAAATATTTCCTTGCACTTTGCAATATTCCTTGCCTCCGAATATGCCACTAAAAGCGTCGTCCAGGAGAACACATCCGGTTGTACCATGGAATCAAAAACAGACTGGGCTTTATCAAGATGCCCATTGTCGGCATATGCTTTGATCATAGCGTTCCACGTTACTGCGCTCCGACGTGGCATTTGGTCAAACACATTTTTCGCATCAGTTAACCTTCCGGACTGCCCGTATGCAACGATTATAGCTGTCCAGGAGACGATGTTCTTGAAAGGATTCTCAGCAAAGAGTGTCTCGGCTTTCTCAAATTCCCCATTCTGGCAATAAGCGCAAATTATCGTCGACCAAGATACCCCATCCCTTTGCGGCATTCGATCGAAGAACTCCTTTGCCAGATCGAGCTCATCGTTCTGAATGCACGCTTGCATCATGCTGTTCCACGACACAACATCTCTCCGCGGCATCTCCTCGAAGGCAGAGATCGCATCGTAGAGGCGGGAGCTCTGGGCAAATGCCGCGATCATCGTGTTCCAAGATACGACATTCTTGCTTGGCATTCGATCAAACAGCGCCTCCGCATCCGCGATATGCCCGTTTTGGGCATACCCGGCGATCATCGCGTTCCAAGCCACAGTGTCGGGATTGCGCAGGGAATCAAACATCTCTCTCGCTTTTTGTAATTGCCCTCTTTGGGTATATCCAGAAATCACAATTGTCCACGAGATACAGTCGGGATTGGGCATCTTTTCTAGAACTCTGATTGCCTCGGCGAGCTCTCCATTGTTGGTGTGAGCTTGTATCATGGAGTTCCAGGCGACTGTGTTGCGGTCGGGCATTCTCTCGAATAACTCTCTCGCCTCGTGGATTCTCCCATTGCGGGTAAATGCCGCAAACATGATGTTCCAGGAGAACTGGTTTGGGCGATCGATTCCTCGAAACACACTGCATGCTTCATCGATGCTGCCGCACTTTCCATACATTTCAATCAGCAAATTGCTCAGAAACCTGTTGTATCTTTGCTCGCTTTCGAGGATCTCCTTGTGGACTCGCCTGCCTTTGCGCAAATCTCTCTCATGGCAGCAAGTTTTGATGAGAGAAGCATAGAGTTTTGGATCCGTGGAGACATTCATATGGTTTAAGGCATATTGATTTTACTTGAACAAAAATCTATTGCCCGGCCTTCGTTCTAAGGAAACAAACAGACAAACGTACTTAGTGTTTTTTGACCGCCCCTTGTTATTCACGAGCACGTCCTCTTCGCACGCATCGATCGAGGCCCAGAGAGTTGCAGGCTACGACATCCCAAAGAATCCAATGCTGTTTGTCAATGTCTTGCTTCGCTCAATCACGCCCGCTCTGATTTGCCAGCTACATAGAGACGCTATAGCCATGCAACAAAGAAAGGGGAATGTTGTTCTACGTCAATTGCGCTGCAAGAACCGAGCCGAAAATGTCGCAGATGGACGATTTGAGTGCTCAATGTTATATTTCTAGTACGTAATTGAAAAAAAAAAATCTTATATAGTTTACCAAGCACAAGTGATCAAAGCGCAAAAAGAGCAACATACTTTACTGAAAGGTAAACACGGGTAAAACAATGGACCGCATAGCCGGTGTATAGCTAGAAATGTACCACACAAGTAGGAAATTGAATAGATGAAGTAATATAACCTCTTACCAGTAGTAGAATTTGTGGTGGCCCTGCTGCATTCAGCTACTAGCCACAACAGGGTAGCAATTAGTAAAATATATATGCTCCTCATATTTCTAGATTATATTTTGGGTGGATTGTTGCAATGTTTTATAGAATAAGAAGCTGAGTTGTAAAGAGTTTATTTCCTTTAAATTTATTTTGAATTTTATTTTAAGTTGGTGACACCTTACAGACAGTCATGAATTGTGCTATTAGTGGCAAACAAATGTTGATCATCATTGAAAAACAAAAGACTCACGACATTATTAAATTGTTTTTTTTTTAGGTTTTTGTCTGGTTGTTTATCCTAACAATTTTAAGTTAAGAATTTTGACTGGAATTAATCATTTTTCATAATTTTTTTTCAAGTTTGTAAAATATAAACATATTAAATCATAGGATTAATCTAAATATATATCAACTAATTTATTTTGCTTAAGCAAACCTGTGACTGAGATGGTAGTGAATATATTTAGAAGATACTTAAATATTCTAGGATATTCTACCATCTAACAGTTGTTATTCATTTAGATTAATCTTGTATTTATAATTTATGAACATGTTTATAATTTATAAAAAAAATTAAACCCATTCTAGTATATTATTTTTTATTCTATCATTTAATGGTTGATATGCAATAAGATTAATCTTGTGTTTATATATTACAAACATACTTATATTTATAAATTTTATTTGATCAATACTATTAAGCAAACCAAGCTGTAACATGTAGCAATTTATTTATATGAAAGACTTCACAGTATGTTAATTTATGTTAATAAATTATTGTGATAAAGTTTTGTTTAACAAACTTTACAGCTTTTCCTACACGCTCCTGGCCATTCCTGTGTGCCAACCATGTAACTTGGATTCTTGTCACACTCTCCATATGCAGCCCATTCTCCACACTTCTCATTCTCGTCGGCACACCCCTCTTTCTTGGGCTTCCCGAATGGAAGAACGTGAATCCACTTGGTGGCCGACCATTTCTCGCCTTCTATCACCGGACACCCGCCGTGCAAGCTCGATTCATCCGGAGTGGCATCCGGATGTAAACTATAGAACAGAAGAGCATCGCCTTTGCGTGGTTTCACTGCAAAAAGGAATGGCATCATTCAAGGCAAAGATCCAAAGAGCAAAAGGTAATGGTCTAACCTGCGATGCCTTTCTTTGCACAGTCGGACCAGGAGTCATCCTTAACAGTGGTGTCCTCCTAAAAAACCGAAGGAACAGACTAAAACGCTAGGACAATAAAATCTGAATTGGACAAACCTCTGACGAGGGGAAAACTGTCTCGCCTCCCTTGACAGCGTCCGAGAGGTACATGAGGACGGTGGCTATACGATGGCCACCGAGAGCTTGGTTGTATTTATCGTGAAAGTAGTCGTAGTGGGGCTCATATTTCTCGCCAAACTCGTAGCGTAGGACTTGGATGGCCTCACCGTTCTCTAGAAAAACAAATCCAAGGATAAAACCTCATAAACTTGGAAAAGAAACTAGAACCTTTTGGTAAGAAAGTCCATGCGGCAATTCTTTCCTCGATCCTGTTAATCACTTCATCCTGGAGAGACAAAAGAATTTTTTTTCTTTCTAAAACGACCGAGCAAGCGAGTACCTGTCCTTTCGAAAGAAACATTCCAGAGCTCGTTCGAATGTTGCTAAGGACACTCTTGCCAGACTCGTTGTCAGCCACCATAGATTTTTGGAGCTTATCCTTCGCCTATAAAACCGAAGTAGCAGATCATTCTCTTTTTAGAATAAATTTTTTTTTATGGAGCTAGAGCAACGTACCATCTTCACGACGTGATCACACTCCGCAGCACTCATAAATCCCTTGTACAAGAACGCTCTAGCCAAAGAACAAAAAGAAAAAAAGAAAAGAAAGACCAATTCCTCCAACCAGGTCAACTTAAATCCTGGAAGAGATTGAAGAACATACCGAGGTTTCCAAGAGAGTTGGATGACTTTGGTCGGATCCACTATGGATTGATCGCTCTTGTCGGTCACAGATCTAATATTTCCATCCACGGAGTGCCTGGAAAAGAAGAAAAAGGGGAAAAATGGAGCTGGAGAAGTAGAATGTAGCATACTGACGTTTCCCCCATCCATCCTGGAAGATCGTCCACAGCTCCGAGCGCCTGAGACGCGAGCAGCAACAAAAGCGCCAAACGGAAGGCCCCCTCCATAGCGAAGAAATAACGAAGAACCCTAAATCCTTGACCTAAGCTAGGCTAGGTTCGTGGGAGAGAAGGCGGCGATCGGGGACGATGGATGTGGTGACCAGCACGCAAATGCTCGCCGGCCAGGGGATTGACAAGGTCGTCGTGCATCCGCTCGTTCTCCTCAGCATTGTGGACAACTACAATCGCGTCGCCAAGGATACGCGCAAGCGAGTTCTTGGCGTGCTGCTGGGCGCTACCTTCCGGGGCCGTGTGGATATCACTAACAGCTACGCAGGTATGGCCGATTTGTAGGAGATTTCGAGGAGAGAATTTCTGGTTTCCTGGGGAGTCGTGAGAATTGTTCTTCCTTCTTGCAGTACCGTTTGAAGAGGATGACAGGGACCCAAGCATTTGGTTTTTGGATCACAACTATCACGAAGCGATGTTTGATATGTTCAAGCGGATCAATGGTAAGTTCTTCGTGTTTTTTCTTTGCTTGGCATTACGTTTGTGCTTGCAGCGAAGGAGCACGTTGTTGGATGGTACAGCACTGGTCCCAAACTACGTGAGAACGATCTTGACATTCACGAGCTCTTTAGGAAGTGAGAAATTTGTTTCTCTATTTTTCTTCTGGATTCTATCTTGCTCATTTGTGTGATTGCTTCTACCAGCTACGCTCCTAACCCGGTCCTGGTGATCATCGACGTACAACCCAGGGAGCTCGCAATCCCTACAAAGGCTTACTACTCCATCGAAGACGTCAAGGAGAACGCCACGCAAAAGAGTCAAAAGGCTTTCGTTCATGTGCCATCGGAAATAGGAGCTTACGAAGCTGAAGAGATTGGTAAGAGTTTCCAGATTACTTATCTCTTGTGTTAACGTTGTGTTTCGTTCTCTTTAGGTGTCGAGCATTTGCTACGAGATGTGAAGGATGCTACCGTATCGACACTCGCTACCGAGGTCAGAATTGACAGAAAATGATCACACAAGTTTTTCCTGATTGAATGAAGACCTCCAGATTGGAGCAAAACTACAATCCCTGAAAGGACTTGAGGCGCGACTGAAGGAGATACGTGCATACTTGGACAACGTTGTTGAAGGCCGATTACCATTGAATCACGGGATTCTTTACCATCTTCAGGTAAAAACCTCTACGGCGACTTAGTCACTGACAAGCTGTTTTTAATCAGGACGTTTTCAATCTGCTCCCCAATCTAAACGTCCAGGAACTCTTCAGATCTTTTGTTGGTAAGATTTCACGCGTTTGGCCAAAGTTTTCTCTCTTAGCTAAGCTCTGTCCAAATTTTCCAGTCAAGACGAACGACATGATGCTCGTCATCTATCTCTCTTCTCTTATCCGAAGCGTCATCGCTCTACACAATCTCATCAACAACAAGGTATCGTTATTGAAAGGAGAAAAGCTTTACAATATATTTCTCTTGCTGTGCAGATGCTTAACAAGGAACACGAGAGACTCGCGGATGCTTCATCAGCTGGGTTAGTCATAACAGCTTCAGCGGGCAGCTAACTTTTCACCCAAGTATGTACCTTTTTCTATGGGAAATTTTTCTCTCTTGGTTTTCTCGTCGAAGTATTTACATCAGGGGCCACAGCTAGAAATCTTCTTGCGACGGTGGTGCCTCGTCGTCGGTGTGCAAAAACCGGTAAAACTTTCCAGTGGGAGGAATAGACTTGGTGTTGGATTTGTACAAGCGGCCATCCCACTCGTAGAAGAGATTGAGGTTATCAACGAGCTTGTGGAAAACGTTGCATCCTTTACACTGCACGAAGAGAAGCTTGCGTGTTTGCGGAGAGGAAAGATGGAAGAAATGGAAGAGTTTCTACCTGGACGAAGACTGTTCCATCTGTGTAAGCGTGAGGATTGATAGCTCTCATAGTTCGCGCTCCACAAACGTTGCAAGTAAACGCCACTCTCATTCTTCGTCGCGGGGATTTGCTGAGAAGAGGCCACTGGTTCTCCTCCGAGAGGCTTGAGTTTTCTTTGGAGGTAAATGCCGGGCCTTCCAAGCCCGAGTCGGTCGTCCAGCCTTTGCCGCTAGCGGCTTGGAGAACCAATCCCATTGCCATCTCCTGTGAAAGAAGAAGAATTAAATCTGCCCAAGGGATGATGAAAGAACTCCAAAATTTTACCTGAGAGAGGGGTTGGAAAGGATTGCTCAATGGGACTAAACTCCGCGTTGGGTCTTGCTCGCCACCGGTGCTCCCTGCCAAGGATTTCCAGCATAAACCCTGATTTTTCTTGCATCGCCGCTTACCGGAATGGATGGAATCAAATGCGATGTGCATCGCCGTGCGGGATGGATGAAACCTAACAGCGGCCCAATCCACGCTCCTGCTGCTGCTCCCAGCGGCGGTCGTGTGAGACTTGCCTGCGCCGCGATGGATCATCGCCACCGGTGGAGGAGAGATGGAGCACACCGCCATTGCCACTTTGACAAAGGGTTAACGCGGCTCGAATCGAATACTTAAATTTACTCTTATATTTAATAAGCAAATATTCAGAACACGTGTCAATCTCCTATAGATCCACGTAGGACGACAGAGTAAAAAACTTGCACCAGAGGATATTTTTTAAATAGTCCTTAAATGGCCATAGATCATGAGTTCGATTCCGAGCTCTCATCGTGATTGTCACAAACCTTTGCTAAAACTTCGCTAGTTCCCACATTCTAATCTCTTGTGAGTAAAATCCTTCTCAAAAAATGAATCACGCTCCATCTCATGGCCATCAAATAATTCACTAATAGAGTTTAGCCGTGTATATAGTTTTTGTGTGTAAATTTTACACCTAACTTTTTCACGCTTTTACAAATTACACGCCATAATATTTATAGACGCGTAGCGTGTATTTTCGTACACCGGTCTCTCTCGTACGGCACATAGCATTTTCTTTCTCAGGGGAGCGCTTCAATGCCGGGGAGTCGCTCTCTTTCCATCGAGACGGCCACAGCGGCTTGTATTGCTAACGTATTGAGAACTTACGCCAGAGTAGTGGCGCGCGCGATTGATCAAGAGTAGCCGGGTTTGCGATCTCTCTTGCGCTGGGAAGCTGCTTCCTTTCCAGAGCGGGCTGAACGGTAAGATCTTTTCTTTCGTTCCTACTGGTGTTACCACTTGTAGGATCTCGGCGAGCTCCAGAAGCATCCAAGAGTTGGACAATCGTTGTGGGTATCTTGCGAGGTAAGATCATTTCTCTTCTTTCTCGCCTTTCATAAACTTGTGATGCAATCGGCTTGCGCATTAAGCTAGTAGTGAGACACGCTGAGCCCGGTTCACTATCAACCGAAGTTGTCTCCTCTCCATCTCTCCATCCAGAGGAGTTGAGCGGACTTAAGTCTTTGCTTCATTCCTCTGTGTTAATTTTTTGATTGGTTTCCAGAGCTTATCAATTTCAATTATTCAAGAGCAGAACAATTCTGGTTCATAGAGCAGAGCACTACGTAAGAGAACATTTGGCTTCCGAGATCTCTTCTTTTTGTTTTTAAATTCTAGCCAGGCACGAACGGTATCTTCGTGTCAAGACGATCACAGTGCTTTAGCCCGGTTCACTATCACCTCCAATCCAGAGGGAGGTGAGCGGGCTGCAAGGTAATCTTTACTTACATCTTTGTTTTGCTTTTGATCTTTGTATTAGTTTTTATACCAACCAGTGAAAAGCTGGCTCTGGGAATTAATACTTATGAACCCAAGACTTATTCCAGCATTGGTTCAGGCGATATATTGATCTCTACGATCTTCCTGTTGAAGTTAAGTTGGAAGCAAGAGCTGTCAATCATGTGCAATAATTTTCAGTTGTTTTTATGCATAAAATTCGAAAACATGAACTCAGGCTGGAGGAGTAAACCGACGATGTGACGTATGATCAAAATGGTCAACTTTTACTTGTCTTGGAAGTTTTAGTTAGTGAGAGTATTATTTCCTTTTTATCAGCACATGGTAATTTTGTAAGTATTTCAATTTCCTTTTTACTACTGAATCATGTAATTTGTTTTAGATAACCATCAATCCTTTTAGTAAAAGTATGGAATAGAGGGTTTAGGCACTTTCAAATGCTGTTTCATTTGGGGGAGCTCATGCTAAGAACTTACACAATATACAAAATATTAGTGAATAAAAGTTATTTATCATTGTTGTGAAATTTACTTTTACATTTATTAAGTTATACTTGTCAACAGGAATGGGAATCACATATCAAGCACTCCCTTGCGTCAAAGGCATTCCCTTATATACTATTGAAATACCAACACACTTGTTCTTAGCTCCAGCGAACACACCAAACTTTGAGATGGGGTTATACATAGCACAACACTCTCTACAATAGGTGAAAAAGTGACTTTAAAATATGGAATACTTTAGGACTCCAACAACGAGAACCAACTCACTGACAGAGGAAACAAAAATTTTGAAGTGTAAATATCGAATAACCAGAAGAAAAAAAGAACCATCTAGTAAGTGCTCTCATCCCCATCACCAATCACAGGAAGGGCAACCTTTGCAAAGTCCTGTTTCGGTTTGTCTGCCTATACTTCTAAGGGTGGTAAAGTCGTTGCTGAGCATAATCGACTGGATGTAGTAGAGATCAATGCGCACACCATCGGCAGGGAAGCAACTGGGAGCAGGCTCGTCATCCATGATCATGTCCTTGGCCAGCTTCAGCTGGAAAGCTGGAATCCCCACCCTGTCACACGCACCATCGCCAAGTCCCACGCCCCGCAGTGATCCCCCTCGCTCTGCAACCAGGCGGCGAGCGATATCAACGCTGCTGCTCTCCAGGTCCGCAGTCCCAAAGCTCACTGCGTCCCTCAATACAATCCTCACACCACCGCCGGCGCCGCCACTGCTGCTGCTAGCACCACCAGTGCTCTTCACTCTCTCGAACAAGAGTGCCAGGAGCTGTCCCCTCCCCACGTACTCTTTGAAGCCCAGGTAGAATCGGATCCCTCGACCGAAGCTGCCATCGGCCGAGGCGGCGAGGAACTGGTCCGCGTCGGCCACAAGCTCGAGCAGGGTGCGCGACTTGGCAACGCTCAGCACTCCCTGCGGCCAGTCATGCCCGACCAGCGTCCTTCCCATCTTCACGTCCGGTGGGAGCTCTAGGAGAGCGACCACCTTGAAAAAGCGAGGAGCAAAACGAGCAGAGGTGCCGCTCGTGTTCATCCTCACTGTGCCTCCAACATCCAGCTGGAATGGCCCGCATGCTAGGGTATGATCTAGGTGAAGGAAACCATCTCTCTCGACGCCCATGGCCTCGACGCACATCATCTTGGATTTGTCAAGCACCAGGTACTCCTGCTTGAGGCCCGCTTCATAGCCACTGTCTTCAAAGCTCTTGGCAGACACGTTCCTGACAAGAACAAGGTTCCTCTC